GTGGGACTGGCCATGTGCTCCTCTCTGTGGACTGGCTGCTCTAATTGGGGTCATCATCCTCAAGGCCTGGTGGGCCAAGAGGTATGTTAAATGTCATCAAGTGGGATCCGACTCATCCCGACCCAACTAGTAAAGGCAGCTCACTCTGCTGACCCTTCACTTTTCCAGTCTCAGTGGATGCCCTGTCCCAGAAGCCGTCCCTGCTGATAACCTGTCCAAAGGTTATCATTCTCCCTTCTAAGGAGCATTCTGGTTGTACTTCTGCTAAGTAAGATCTGTTTGCACTTCTGGCAGTCCGCGGTATTTTCAATATTCATAGACAACATCATCATTAAAAGGTATAGATTCTAGTTTCATGGTCCTCCTCCGTTTCCAGCCTTCACATGTATATGAGGCGGTTAACAATGCCAGGCGGCCGGCAGGCGAGAGGCCCCACCAGAGAGGGTGCAGGGACTGGGGGTGGAGCCAGGTTGGGGCACAGAGCCGCCAGTCCCGTTGCCAGGAAGCGGTACAGGGACACAATGGGGTCTAGGAGTTGGGCTGGGCAGGGGCAGAAATCCAGCCTACAGTAGCCTTCTGCTGCTGAGCGCCATTAGAACAGGTCAGTGCACCTCCTCGGACCTCAGGGCTAGCCCCTCCCCAGGTACTCTCCCGAAGCGCCAGATCTCCCTTCTCGAAATCCGGGACTCTCCCTGCTGAACTAATTTTGGGGACCGGGGACTGGAGATGGCCTGAAAGCGCTTGCCCCGCCCCACACCCCGCCACCAAGCACTGAAAGCCACAGCTTGTTTCCCGGGCGCCCGGCATACCGGGTGGACCCCGCTCCCGGAGTCGAGCTGAGCTAGAGGGAATAGGGGGGATGAGCTCCCCGTGAACTGGGGGTGGAGGGCCGGGCCGCCACCCCTCCATCCACAGGTGCCAGTCACTGGAGCTATGGACTCGGACGTCTGGGTCGGCTCCTGGCGCCCTCACAGACCCCGCGGGCCGATTGCTGCGCTTTCCCGAGGCCCTGGCCCCAAGTACCAGCTACCGCCCAACACTGGTACTGGCAGAGGAAGGACGTGGGGGAGGGGTCTGTGCGGTGGCTGAGTCTGGACTGGGGAGCGGCGGGGCGCTCTTAGCGGAGCAGCTGAGACTACGCCTTGGGAAGGAGGCAGGGTGTCAGTGCCCTGGGCGACTTGGGTTGGGGGATGTGGGTCTGGAGCGGGTGTCGGTGCCCTGGGGAGCCTGGGAGGCGGGTCACTGGAGGGTGGTTTGCGCCCGCGCGGAGTTGGGGGTGGGGACCCGGCGGGGCACCGGTGACGCTGAGCCCGTCCCGCAGGCTACATCCTCCACGACCCGTCGCGCCCCCGCGCCCCCGCCTACACCTTCGGGGCGCGCCTCCCCGCCCAGCAGCAGACCTGCGGCCCGGGGCCCGGCCACCTGGTGCCTGCGCGCATGACCGTGCGCGGTCCGGACGGCGCCCCCTCCTACTCCATCTACGGCCGCCCGCGCGACACGGCGCGCTTCCTCACGCCCGGACCGGGTCAGGCCCTCCGCGCCCCCCACCTCCCCATCGCCGAGCTGCCTCCCGAGAGGCCCGCCTGGGAAACCCCACCTGAACCCCAAGCCCCACCCCCTCGGGGACCCAAACATCGCAGATATCTCAAAACCCAGCAGCCCGACTCTCACGGGGCTTAGGCAAAACGGAGTCTGACTCCCTCGGGCCCCTAACACGCCACCCGCGGCCCCGTCCGCACCCCTGTCCGCCCGCAGGCAGATACTTCCCAGAGCGAGCCGGGAACCTGGCGTACCCCAGCGCGCCTCGGCACACCATCGCTTCCCGAAACTGGGGCGCCCAATCGGAGCAGAAAAGCCCAGGTGAGGCGGGAAGGGGCCATTCCGGCTCCCCACCCCCCCACCCCAGGAGGGGCGTGGGGAGACCGCTCCGCCAGAACCCACCTCCCCACGCAGGCCCCGCGACCTACACGGTGCCCTCCCTCCTGGGCTCCCGCGTCATCAGTAAAGGGTCAGCGCCAACGTACTCCATCTATGGCCGCAGGGCCGCGGGCGCCTTCTTCGAGGACCTCAGCAAGGTGAGGAGGGCCGCCAGACCCAACGCAGTCAGGGGTCCCCGGAGGGGTTAGAGGCAAGGGCAGTGTCGGTGGTCAGCGGGAGATGGAAGCGGGACCCAGCGGCCCTCCTCCCTCCCGCAGACCCCGGGGCCCTGTGCCTACCACATGGTGAGCCCCACGGTCTACAAGTCCCGGGCTCCCCAGTTCACGATGCTGGCGCGCACTTCTATGCCAGAAGACTACACCCTGAATCCAGGGCCCGCGGCCTACAATGTGGACAAGGTGGCCTGGAGGCGGGGGTGGGGGTGGGGGGCCTGAATCCAGGGTCTGAGGTGGGGGGTGGAGGAGTGGGGTGCAGAGCCTGGCAGCTCACTCCATGGCCTCACCCATCTGCAGTACCGGAAGCCGGGTGGCTGGAGCTTCGGGATCCGGCACTCGGACTACTTGGCCCCGATCTTAACCGACATGGACTATTGACCCGCGTGGCGACCACAGCCCCATCGAAGCCTGCTTAAAGCGTCCCCACGCAGCCGCGAGTCCGCCTCTTTGTGCATGCCGAGGCCCTGGGGGAAGGGGAAGGGGAACTGGGGGTTCTGTTCTGCCCACTCCTCGCACGACCACCATTGATGACATGGGGCAGGCTGGACAGTGATACCAACACAGAGATATGGATCGGAGGAGCCAACAAGAAAACAACACTGCAGGCCCAGGGCTATGGCTGGTTCAGGGACCCCAAGACTCCCTGGCCTAGGGTTCGAAGTGTCAGGGCCTGGGGACTCCCCCGGTGGAAGCAACTTCTGGCACTAAGCAAAGTGGTTCTCAGGGCATTGGGGTGCACCTTGGTGGACTGGAGCACCATAGGGTGTGCCAATGGATCCTTGGGGAAGGCTGGCAGGGTTGGCAGACTGCCCAAGATCACTTCATGCCTCCCCCTCCTGCTCCCACATCTAGGGCTGGGCTGGGAGCAGCTCTGACCAGTGCTCTAGGCAAGTCGAACTGGACAAACCTCCCACAGGAATCATGGTGGCCACTTGCACCTCAGGCTGGAGAGCCAGTGACCACAGGCAGTTCCATTGACCGGCCTGGTCCAGACTAAGTTCCCAAGACCAGGACCACAAGGCTTCTCCCAGGAGAATCCCGTCATGGTCCCAGGTCAGGACTTGGCTCCCTTGTCCCCGCCACCCTACAGAACAGGACCAAGACCCCCTACCCCTCAGTACCCGAGATAGGATGATGTTTCACATGGGTGACATTCTCCTCAGTCCCAAGACTTGTGCTCCTGAGAACAGGTACCAGCCTGTGTAGGGGATTACACAGTCAGCTGCTAACTCCAAGGCCAGCAGTTTATGACCACCAGCTGCCCCAAGGGAGTAAGCTGAGGCTGTCTGCTCCCACAGTTTGTCTCAGAAGCCCACAGGAGCCCTCTACCCTATCTTATAGGGTCCCTATGCATGGAATCAACTCGATGGCAGTTTATTTATTTAAGTCACAGATTGACAACCACTCACAACTGTGAGTGGGGCCTAGCTTAATCATTGATCTGGCTATGGATGGCGATGCCTGACCTCTGACCTCCACAATGTGCCTCAGTCCCCCACCTCAACTTGTGGAGGGTGATAACCTGGGCTTCAGCGCACAGGAAACCCTTAATGCTCAGAGCCGTGACCCCTCTCTCAACATTCTCCACCTCCCAGGCAATTGCCCCACTCATGACATCCCTCTTTCCTAGGCTCCATCCTTATTAAGAAGGCTATGGGGAAATACATGAAGCTCAACTTTCCCCACTTCAGCCCAGGCCCAGAAACTGGCAAGCACTGGCATCCTGAGGAGGCTGCAAGGTGCCCCTCTGTGAGGTCCTGTGCGGGGGCAGACCCCCAAGTTTGGTGGGCTTGCTTCTCTGGGTGGGCCTTATTGTGTAGTAGACCCACCGTCCATGACATCCCTGTGCTCTGCAGTCTGGTCATCCACCCCATCCTGTCCTCTGGTTCTTATGCTCCCTCCTGGCCCCGTTAACGCAAGCAGGAGCTGCATGAGGCGTGTCCCTGGACCCTCAATCCTGCAGGGCTTAAGGGCTGAGGAGCTGAAGATAACGCCTCCCGGAGTTTGCCACCCTATGTCTCTGCCCGGCAGGGTCCACTGTGACATGTCCCCCACGTGGGGATGGGCCTGGAGTGCGGCTCACTGCCCTCTGACCCCCGTGGGTACCAGCCTGGGCGCCGCCTGGAGGGAGGAGGTGCTTCTGGGACTTGCAGCGCTAGATTAGGCTCATGCTCAGAAACTCCCAGCCCTGCCGCCCGTGAAGGGGTGAACATGGAGACCGCCGACCGCTGGGCACCCAGCGCCACGCCTGCAGGGGGCGCTCGCTCAGTCGCTGCCGCCCGCGCCAAGAGCCGGAGGCCGACGCGTGGGGCGGGCCTTCATTAAAAGCAGGAAGTACTGCCTACCCAGTACCATGCACACGCGCAGTACCCAAGCAAGCCCGCTGCTTGTCCATCTGCGCCTGCGCGGCGCCGTTTTAGAGCATGCTCACTGGAACACGGCGTGCTGCCTGTCGGTCCAGCGAACCCCGGGAGCGGTGAGGGGTGTGCGCGGACCTGGGCAGGGCCAGCGCGACCACCACCATAGCTCTTTCCTTCTGCAAGGTATGCGCCTGGGGAAGGGGCAGTCCTGTGGGCGGAGGGCTTGCATTAGGCGAGGGGCACGCCCCTCCTTCGACCTGGCCTCCGGAGGAGGGCCAAATCCTGCGGAGGCGGGAGCCTGATGGCCTCTGGGGGAAAGCTGGCCCCCGCGTCTGCCGGGAGGGGACCGCTGTCAGGCCGGAGGGTTTGGTCAGTTCTCGAGGGTGCAAGCCAAGCTCATTCACTTCCAAGAAACAAGTGTTTATTACAGATAAGCGCACTAAAACCCCAGGCAGTAGCTGCACCGGTGTGGAGGGCGGGGGCAGGGCTGGTGGGCGTCCGCGCGCTTGGGAACCAGCCTGGGGCTACCTCCCTCGCTGAACTAAAGGGGGGGTGGGGGCGGGCGGGCGGCCCTTGTTCCCGCTGGCCCCTTAACTCTCGGCTCTTTCGCAGGCTTCAGCTCCATGCTGCTACCAGTTCGGGTGCCCAAGGCTTGGTGGGGGCTCAAGCCGTTGGTCTCAGTACCCCTTGGAACCCTGCAGGGCAAAGTCCCGACTCTGAGGTCGAGGCCCCTATCAGGGCAAGGCCCTGCTGGGACTGGTGGCCAGGACCCGGCACCAAGCTTTAGGCTTCGGACGAGGCTGCTCATCACAGCCCTGTTTGGGGCCGGACTCGGGGGTGCCTGGCTGGCCGCTCGATCTGAGAAGGAGCGGTGGCGGCAGGAGCAGCGGACCAAGGCCCTGCGCCAGGCGGCCGTAGGCCAGGGCGACTTCAGCCTGCTGGACCACCGGGGCCAGGCGCGCCACAAAGCTGACTTCCGGGGCCAGTGGGTGCTGCTGTACTTTGGCTTCACACACTGCCCTGACATCTGCCCCGACGAGCTGGAGAAGCTGGTGCAGGTGGTGCGGCAACTGGAGGCGCAGCCCGGGCTGCCCACTGTGCAGCCAGTCTTCGTCACCGTAGACCCCGAGCGCGACGACGTGGCAGCCATGGCCCGCTATGTGCAGGACTTTCACCCGCGGCTGCTCGGTCTGACAGGCTCCAGCGAACAGGTAGCCCAGGCCAGTCGCAGCTACCGCGTGTACTACAGCGCGGGTCCCAAGGACGACGACCAGGATTACATTGTGGACCACTCCATCGCCATCTATCTGCTCAACCCTGACGGCCTCTTCACCGACTACTATGGCCGCAGCAAGTCGGCCGAACAGATCGCCGACAGCGTGCGGCACCACATGGCTGCCTTCAGCAGCGTGCTGGGCTGAGCTGCCTACCATTAAAGGGAAGCCCGGTGTGTGGTGTGTGGTGTGTGTGTGGTCTGCAGGGCAGGGTGGGGCAGCCCTTCTTTCTGCAAAGAGCGATTTCAAGGTGGTGGGGTGGGCAGCTGGAATGGCGATACCACTTTATTAGGCTGGGCAGGTCGCACAGCCAAGGCCTGTGCCCCATACCCTGCCAACACCTCCTCCCTCGCACGGCTTGTGTCAGGGCTGAGCCATGGAGGGGGCTGTGTAGGTCTGGAAGCGCGTGTGGGCCCGTTGGTGTGTGAGCAGCCTCAGGGACATGGTGTCCACGGCGACCTCCAGCCCAGGCTGCTGGGTAATCTCCACGGTGTAGTCATTGGCCTGAAGGGAGGTGGTGTTAGTCAGAGGTCGCCCCACCTGCACCCCTCCTCCCATACCCCACCCACTCACCAGCTGCAGGGAGGCCAGCATGGAGCGGCACACCTCAAAGGCAGGCTGGCCGGCCACCAACTTGGCAAAAGGGCACCACTCGTTGAGCTGGCTAAAGTGGGAGACCACCTGGTCCCCATATGTGTGGATGTCGAAGGGCACATGCTGCTCCTGCACCAGAGAGGGCTCTGCTGTTCCTGGGAGACCAGCCACGACCCCAGCACTGCTCCCCCCTCCCCCAGGGCACCCCAGCTTCCCTCTGCCCCTCACCCCCCACACACCAGGGAGAAGACCCTGCTGTCCCCGGGCAGCCTGCTGCCCTTGCCCCCTGAACCTGCTCCTGGAGCAGCGGCTGGATGGTGCCCTCCCAGTCTCGGATGCGCTGGCTCAGCTCCGTCTCCTGCACGAACTTCTGGGAGGTGGCGATGAAGAGGTCCTGGGGGCGGCAGCGCTCAGTCTCCTGCCTAGGCCCCAGTGCCCCAGCCCTGCCAGTGCCTACCCGGGCTTACCACATTCCTTTGAACCAGCTCCTCGTAGCTCAAGGCTGGTGGCCTGGCCTCAGGGTCTGGGGGAGAGCAGCTATGAGTGGGGGATCAGCTAGGGGGGCTCCTGTTGCCCACCAGCCCAACCCTGCCCAGCCTACCTAAGTCATCAGCTTCCCCAGGCCTCATCCCCTCAGGCTCCAAGTAGTCTTCAGGCTCCAGAAAGTCATCTGGGGGTGGTAGGGGTGCTGTGAGCAGGGAGCCTAGGGACCAAGCCCCACCCTGCCTGCAGGGGAAACCCCCACCTGCGTCCCCAAGGGGCTCTAGAGGGTCTTCCAACTGCTGCTCCTCCTCAGGCCACAGGTCCTCAGCCTGCGGCAGCCACTGCTGACCCACCTGTCCGAGGGGCACATGTGAGGCTCCCAACTCCCTGCCTTCCCCCTCCTCCCAGCCCCCACCCCGGCTGTGTGCAGGCCTCACCTGCCTCCGCTGCAGCTTATGGAGGGTCTCCAGCTGCTCCTTTACGTGCCGCCAGTACAGGACCTCCATGTCTGCAGACACATGCTCAGCAGAGGGGCTCCCGTGTCCCAAACCATCCTGCCCACCCTGGACACCAGACCCCACCCTCACCTGCGAAAGAGGGGCCCTTCCGCCTCGGCCTCCTGCTGTCGGCATGGTCAGCATCTGTGAGAGCTTGGTCAGTGAGCACCTGCCAAGGCCCCAATGAGGGGCCCAGGGGCCCCCCCACCAGGTGGGCCCATACACTCCCTGGCAGTCAGGCCCCCTAGAGGCCGGCCCCCCAGTGCGCCCCGTCCACTCACAGGCAGCTAGGTACCACTCGTGGAAGTCCTGCAGCTTGCTGGAGCGCTTCCTCTTGCGTTTCTGCCCTGGAGCCTCCTCCACGCAGGGGGGCACAGTGAAGGGCCTGCCTGGAGGCAGATGAGGCTCTGACCTGGGGCCCACCTGAAGGCCTAGCGACCTTAGAGCGCGACCTTAGGGTACATGGTCCTCTCTCCTGGGTCAGGTGAGGAAGGGCAATTCCCAGTCGCCTTGCCTGTTACCTTTCTTGAAGGGCTTGGAATCCAGGGAGTCAAAGGGGTCCAGGCTCTGCCAGGGATCCGGGGCCTTTGGGCACAGAGCACAAGCAGGTGCTGAGGGCCCCCCCCATGGGCGCTAACCTGGGGAAGGTGCCCCAGAAAGATTTGTGCAAAGGACCTGAGGTCCTCGGGGTTGGGGCCACCTCACACACCTGCAGCCGGGTCGGGGGCTCCAAAGCTGGCTCCTGCTCAGATTCCCGCTCCCGCTCCCGCAGCATGTACCTCTGGGGCCTGTCAGCACCCTGCAGAGACACCAGCACCTCCCTTACTCCTGCAGCCAGACTCAGCATTCTGCCCTGGGGCAGAGTAACAGGGACCAGAGAGTGCCAGGTGGGGACACTAAGACATACCCTGAGACCTATTTACAAACAAGTCAGGCATGGGGGTGGTGGAGGGAAATAACCACACATCCACACCCAAACCCACTCCTGCCAGGCCACCAATCTCAACTAACTGCAACCCTGTGGGCGGGCGCGTCTTTCTTGTCTGTCTCCAGAGGTTCTAGGATGCAGCAGGAAGACACACAGGACTCCTGTCTACAGACCACACACAGGCTCATAGCTGCTCTGTGCATGCAGCTGTCAACAAGGGGACACACTCAGTGCCCCCGTGACCAGCCTGACCACAGGGCAGCTGGGTTGGGGGGCACATGGAGCTGCGAGTGAGGGTGGCCAGAGTCCACAGGCTGGGAGGGTCAGTCCCCCCAACCCCTTTCATGGGAACACACAGGCACCCTCCTGCCCCATCCTGTCAGGGGCGGGCTCCTCTGGCTCTGGAGTTCTGACCTGTGGATTCAGCTCCTGAGGGACCTCAGGGACTGTGGCCTCATGGTGCTCTGCCACTGGCTCGTCGTCAACCTCATCGTCCCTGCCACCTCCAGGTACTGGGCCTTCTGGGGATGGGGGGGAGGTGCGGGGCAGAAGAACAAAACCCTTAGTCCCCAGACCCTGGACAGTAGGGCAGACCTCAGAAGGCTGAGTGGGGGGCGTGCAGGGCTGCAAGCCCTTGGATCTGCTGTCTACTCAGAAGAGCTCTTCTGGTTTGGGGGAGTTCTCACCTGGCTCTGGGGAGCTGGGAGCAGAGGCAGGGCTCCCACAAGCAGAGATTTCCATTGGCTGTTCCTCAGCCCTCCCAGTATCTGCGGAGATAGGCAGGACGAGGGTCAGCCACCCTAGTGTCCCCACAAAGCCCAGCAGGGCCTGAGTCAAGCTCTGACTAAGTCCAGCTCTGACGTCTCCAGCTGCCAGTCTAGGTCTGGGGACGCTGTGCAGCTGGGTGGCTGGGATACAAGGCCCAACAACCCACCCAGCGTGGACTGGGAGGTCACCCAACCCAGGTGACACTGGCAATCAAGCCCTGGGGCACCCTCCAGGAGAAGGCAACAATGGGGTCCCCTTAAAGTCCACATCTATCCCCTCACCCTTCTGGGTCCTCGGCGGCAGTTGGGGGCACAAGCCCAGGGGCTCCAGCATGAAGGCTCCTCCAGGGTGAGGGGTGCATGTGTTCATCCGAAAATCCTTCCGGCTGGCCAGGACCTCCCCCTGACAGCTGTGGGCACAAAACACGCCTGCTGCCGAAGCCCCACCCTGCCCTCCAGCCAGGCCCCGCCTACCCATTGCCTAGCCCAGCCCCACCTGTACAGGGGGTGCCTGCTCTTCTCCAGCTCGTCGGGAGCCACCAGGGCCATGGGCATGAGAGGCACGATGATCATTTCCTGCGAAGAAGCCAGGAGCTAGGGTGAGCGATGTGTCTCTCAGGCTAGGGGTGGGGGAGCACCGTCCAGCAACCCAACCACCACGAAGGTTCCCAGGAAGCGGCAGGGAGGAGGGCGGGGGTGCCTCACACTGGAGGCTTGGTCATTCCTCAGGTCCACGCAGCTTCGCTCGTCTGGCAGCTCGTCCAGGGACAGGAACTACATGAAATGTGGGTCACGCTGGGGCCCCGCCGATGGCAGAGACCGCCTCCCTACCCCCACCGCGGAAGGCCACGCCCCCCTCACCTCATCCGCCCGCGCCCCAGGGCCCTCTGAGTCTGTGTCCTTGGCTGCCCCTTCCTCGTGCCCTGCGGATAGCTGCTTGGCCCTTCTGGGGGATAGGATCCATGTGTGGGTATCAGCCACGTGTGGGTATCAGGGGATGCAGCCCCCCTCCCCCCACCTCCCACCCCTACTACTCACTTCTTGCCTGAGATAAAGTCGAGGGCCTGGTAGACCAGCGAGTAGAGGTACTCCACCTGCCACCAGAGGGGCTTGTGAGGAGGGTCCTCCCTACCGCTGTCCCCCCCAAACTTCATCCAACCCTGGAGGGCAGCCAGCATCCCCTACTGCGTGCATGCCCCACGGCCAGGGAGGCCGCCTAGAAGCGGACTGCGCCCAGCCCAGCCTGCACCAGCCCAGCACAGCCTGTGGGCACCCAGCATAGCAGCAGCCACAAGCCTGGCTCCTCATTCTGGTATGAGGTCCCCAGGGCTAGGTCCTTGGGGGTGGCGGGTGGCAGGGTGGGTGCCAGTCCCTGAGCACAGTGGAGCACTGCACACCTGCCTGCTCTTTGGGTTACAAGGCTGGGGCGCCGGGAGTGTGGGGCCAGGCCTACCTTCTTACTGTAGACGCAGGCAGAACCCTGGATCAGCAGCGCGGCCTCGATGAAGTTCATGGTGGTCTTGCCCTCGTCGAAGGAAATGCAGATCTGGTCCAGCTGGAGAAGTGGCAGGGACCAGCGTGGGGGTGGGGGGGAGGTGTTCCTGCCCACTCCCCCCTTAAGAGTCCCACCCACCCACCATCCATCCTCTCCCTCAGCAGTTGGTTCCCCTAACTGCCCCACTTTTACACACACCTCCTCCCTTCAGAAGTCGGCTCCCCTGACTGGCCCCTCTTCCCCCGTCCCCCTCCCCCTCCCTTGAGAGCCTGCTCTTTTAGTCCCACCTGGTGACTGGCCACACCAAGTTGGGCAGTTGCTGGCAGCCCCTGCACTGTGGTGTGCCGGCAGCCCCTGCACTGTGGACTCCCTTGACTGAGGCAGGGTATCTGTGGTCCCCATTCCTGGGATCTCTGGAAGGCCACATTGTCATGAGGCACAGAGGGCCCACCCTAACGCCCCTAGTCAGAGCTCTGCCCTGCTAGTCTCCACCAGCAGAGCTCCACCAGAGGCAGGGAGCCTTGGGCGGGGCAGAGCTGCAACAGCAGGTCCCCATCCCAGGAGCAGAGAACCCAGCAGGCCTCGGGTAACTTCTCTCCAACCGCCCCCCAGTGCTCTTCCTCTGAACACCAGACAAGCCATCACTCTGCATTGCCCTTGGTCCTCCCCTCAGGACCTACCTGCTCACCTCGGACTCACCCATTGGTACACCCCCTCCCTGACCTCAACTCCAGGCCCTGCTAGCTGCCCACTGCTCAGCCCACGCCCCTGACCTTCATCTCCTATTCTGCCACCACACGGCTCCTCTTGCTCCACCAAGGGAGATGCCCTCCCTAGCTGCCCACCACTCAGGTGCTGTGGGCTGTACTCACTTGCCCCAATGCAGACTGCTTCAAGCCCTGTGCTGCTTGCTGCTCTGCTGGGACAGCCCCTCCCCTCTGCCCCACACCTCCTCCGCCCAGCCATATCCTACCCTTGCACCCTGGAATCGGACCCTGATGCTCACTAAAGGTCTTATAATGGAGCAGGGCTGATGTCCGGCTCCGCCTGAAGCCAACAGACGAAGGGAGGTGGCCTGGCAGGCAGAGCGCCAGCCTGAGAAGACAGGGAGCCCAGGAGGCTGCCATCACGCAACTGTTAAGATGGACGCCCAGAGGGAACCGGAGACGCCCCATCATGGTACTGGAGAAGCAGAGCGCCAGGGCCACCAGCCCCTTGGGAATGGCACAGCGCCTTCGGACACCCACCCGGATGTCTTCCAGGCAACTCACCCCAAGTCCATCACCCAGCCCCTGAAGCTCAGCCCCTCCTCATCCTCCCAATGATAACTGTACTCTGATTGTGACCCTGCAGTCTGGGGCCCAGTCCCTCCCTGTCCTTTCAAGGCTACCTGCACTCTGACAAGTCACCCTGCAGTCTGAGGCCCAGTCCTTCCCATCCTATGAAGGCTACCTGCACTCTGATTGTCACCCTGCATGCCTTCGGCCTGTACGACCTCTGGCAGGGGCTCCCCCACCCCCACCTCCCGCCTCAGTCCAGCTAGTGCGAAGCCTAAAACCACCACCTTGCTCCCTCAGAGCCCTAAGGGGAAGCCAACATCCTACACAGGGTCACGCAGGCATGCACACAGCCTCCACCCCACCCCTCTGCAGGCCACTGTGCAGCCCACTGTGACTGGACAGCAACTTTCACCAGCACCAAGATGAGACACCCAAGCACTCAGAAGGCCCTAAGTGCTATGCCCTGGTGAGAACGTGGGTTCACCCCACCACCACCACCACCACCACCAAAAGCCGGAGAGTGAATGATGTCAACACCCTCCATGTGACGTCTGTGAAAGAGGGCTGCTCAAGCTGGACCCGTGGCTGCCTTGCTCCCCACCCTGCACCCCCGTCCGCAGGGCGGTGGCATGGTGTGCCAAGCAGAAGGCCCGTGCAGCGAACAGCAGGTCTACTGGTGGGAGGTGGCAGCGGTTTGGGTGCATAAAAACCCAAGGCAGCAGATCTACGAGGTGATACACAAGACCTGCTGCTTGGGAACCTGAACCCCCGGGAGCCACCTGGCACAGCTCTTGGCAGTGTCCCCGCAGACTGAGTGTCTGCCCAGAAAAGGTCCACCACCAGCTCAGGTATTTGCCCCCAACAAACATCGCCTCTGCTCTGACTGTGGGCTGGGCAGTCACTGAAGCAGAGGGCGGGTAGGGAGGGCAGGCCTGCCCTCACAGAGCCCAGGCCCACACAGATCCAGGCCAAGGACGCACACTAAGGAGCAGAGCATGCCACAACCCAGAAATGTGCCTGGTAGATAGTGGCCAGCAGGGAGTCACATAGGGGAGCTGAAAAACTCAAGGAAAAATGCCACAACCTTTCATCCCATTATCCCAATAGCTTTCTGGCGTCCACTCATACAAAGAGCAGACAAGGAAGATCTGCGGGCAGGAAGGCGCTGGGGTGCTGGGGTCACTGGCACAGAAGAATGACATCGAGGAGGGCTCATTGTACATAAGGCTCGCAAGGTGGCAAGAACCCAAGGGCCTGGAAGCCACAGGAGGAGTTTCACTCCAAGTAAAGTGGACAGCCATGGATGCACTCTAAGCAGCAAACAGATGTGGGCCAATCTTAATTTTTAAAGCCAAATGTATTACTGGTTAGAAGGATTGCAGGGGGTCAAAAGCCTAAGAGGTAGGGAGTGGTGGGGGAGCTGCCACAATGCTGCTGGCCTGAACCAGTGAAAAAGGCGACCAGGTGGGCTCACGTGATAGCTCGGTATCAGAGTGGGAAGAGTCCGCTGCAGATGAGTGGGGTGGGGGAGCTGCGGGGTGTCCTGTCACTTCAACAGCTGGTTAAACAGTATGTGGCAGCTCAGTGACGGGTCAGGTGGACAGTTGGAAAGAGGAAAACAGATGGGGAAGACGGGAGTGGAGATCTAAATTTGAAGCTTAAAATCATACACATGTAACTTAAAACCAGCGAGATCGTTTGAAGAGTTAAGTATCAAAATATAGGTAGACCTCTGCCTAGCTTAACACTGAGGAGATAAGATAGGAATACTGTAGCCCAGGGTTCTCAACCTTCCTAATGCCGACACCCTTTAATACAGTTCATGTTGTGGTGACCCACCAACGATACAATTATTTACGTTGCAGCTTCATAACTGTAATTTTGCTAGTTATGAATTGGGTGAAAAGGGTCGTTTGAACCCCAAAGGGGTCGCGACTCACAAGTTGAGAACCGCTGTAGCCACTGAGAACCAGGACGCCTCGTCAAGAACCCAAGAAAGGACACTTCTACTAGGAGGCAGCAGTCAACTCCAAC